AGAAATCTTCCACTTTGTCTCAAAATTTGAACCAACCGCGGTCAAGGTCAAGGAAGAAAATTTTATTAATAATCCTCATGTTCCGTAGAAGTAAAAATAGCTATAAATTAGAACAGTAAATTTAAATCTTTCAGTTTAACATATTACCATACCATTTTCTTTATATAAAATGAACTTTTCCTTAGTCAAATTTTTTTGAACAAATTGTTGTTATTTAGTTATAATTACTTACTTTCGCAGGATTAAATCGACTCAGTGGATCAAAGTAACTTGACCAAATATATGCTAAATTATCTAGTCAAATTTCATTATGGCAGTTGCATGGCTTCGTAGAAATACTGTTTTTATGAATCCTCTTATTTAAAGGCAAATTTCCTGCAGCACCATATGACGGGTCACCAACAGTATACGTTTCAGTAAGGCGGTATATTTTGCGATTGAATTACGGTTAATAAGTTTAAGTTAAAATTTTGTATTCGGACAACATTAATAATTCATCACACTTATGGTGTGTAGGCGTCACATATTGCATCCATGCTGCATTACAACCTCGAGTCTAGCCGCATACAACCTAATCCTCGTCTTTCAATTTGTGTCACAGTAACAGCAGAAACAATTTCACAGACAAACTTATCCCCAGATGCAAGCTTAATGCCAATTGATTTTCACAATTCATTATCTTTCAAGAAGCTTAGGGAAATTTGCATGAACTTAACAGTCAAATTTTTCAGGCTTATGCGGATTCAGAAGGAAGGGAACATTTCAATCCATAAGCGTTTATTAAATGTAGCTATAAGGAAAATTCAATTTTCATAGGATTGTGGAAATACGCTGTCAGGCCTGCCGATGGAACAAAATAGGCGAATTCCAGGATGCAATCGCTTTTACAGAAATTTATTACCCTGACCTTTTGAAGTGAAATCTGATCTTTATGGTTGATGAAACCAAGTCAGAGATAAACAGGTGGTTGGATCCACCTTTTTAATCTGAGCGTTGTTTGTCTGTGTTGATGCTAAGTTATGTTCCGTGGCATGTCGCTGTTTAGACCATAAACCGCAGATTAAGACCAAAACGAACACGAACCCAGTTGCGTTTGTATTAATAAATACTTTACTGTATTTGGTTCTCACAATATTTTTTTCGCATTATCTAGTAGGGTCGTGTCGGGTAACGATGCACCGGTGCCGTTCCACCAAAACCGACAAGAGTGGTACGAGTTAAATGTGACTCGTCCCTCTGAACGTTCACCTCCGCCTTCAGCGTCCGCTAAACGAGCAGTTGATGTGCTTGACCAGCTGCCCGTCAGCATCGTTCGAGTGAAGTCTACCACAAACAACTCAGCCAGCACCTCTAAGCAGTCAACACCATGCGCTAAGACATCGAAGGCCAGTGCTTTGAGTGCACCCAGTTGTGGAGTGGAAGAGCAGACCGCCACTGTGCGTGAACCGGGCCAGACCGAGTTCGTTCTTAAGCCCAGTCGGCCCAGAGATCGTTCCATAAACCAGCTTATTCCAATTAATCAACTTCATCCTACTGCTGCAGGAGGTAAACCGGAGTGCGAAATATGTTTGGGTAAGTCAAAGGTTTGCGATTCATTATTGTAAATGTATTCGATTTGAATTCCCTTACTTTCTTAAAGTACAGCAAAATAGATTAAGGTTAATTTTCGTCATGGCTGTACTGTGCGATCTCCTATGGGTTACGGAATTCACAAGTCCGGTTGTGTTTTTGGGTGTGGTATAGAACCCCACGGACAGTTCTTTTGCGGCTAGTATTACATGTGTAACGAGATTGCTGACAAAGACTAGCGTGGATAGTCACCGATACAGTGCTCACTTCGTGGGTAAGTGATGGATGTCTTCGCTTGTGACGATTAATCTGTCGTTTGCGCTTATGCTTCCATCCCAGGTATGCATATCGTTAATTGTAAAATAATCTTTTTTTGAAGAAGGCACGTTGAATTTCATAATGAATACTCCTTTTTAAAATTTGCTTTTCTGTGTATTGTTCTGTTTTTATTTCCAACTCTCAGACCTTTAAATAGCTTTAAGAACAATCAAAATATGCCTTTCCTAATAAATGTAGTGAAAATAGTCAGTAAATGTTTTCAGTGTTTGAAAAAAACTTCATCTCTTCTCTATCTTTTCGGACGTTAGGAGATACATGCTAAGCTTTCTTTGCCTACATTTTAAGTCCACAGAGCATCTTTTTGATGTCCAAACCAGTCGATGTGCGTTAAATATTAGAGTTGATACTAAACGCTTTTTGGCTGCAATAAAATATATCAGTATGTAAAATTGATCAGCTGCTATCATAGTATTCACTGCACCAGCGTCCGTGTGTCCATATAACCAGAGTATCCTCGAGTAGCAGGCCCCTAAGTGTGTGACCGATTCGGTGCTCATTTGGGGACGCTTACCGTTTACTGGTCCCTGCAAACACGCCCGAGGTTTCTTCCATCAAGTCAATAACCGCGTGGGTCGGCATGGCAAACACATAAATGGAGGGCCTTACCCGCACCAGACAGACTGATAAACGCTCGGGAAACTTCCAAACTTCTCTCCCTCTTCCTCACCTTTTTTTC